GGTATTGCGTCTTGTGATGGATCTGCGGGTGTGCTGCGCCTGATTCGACGCTCTCTTGTAGTTCTGGTCGATGGAGGTATACGGGTGGTGATGTCTGCTGGGATGTATGGGGGACCTTGGGATGGTGTAAGCCCGACGATAGTCGTATTGATGCTTGTTGCGTTTTGCAGCATTGCGTCTCTGCGATGGTTGTTTGGCGGGACGCTCTTCTCAATGGAGCTCTTTGCATCTTGGTTTGACTCACACCTAAGTAGCTTTGCCCAAGTCGGGTCCCTTCATTGCGGGGCTGCAGACTGTCTGCCCTCCACAATGTTTTATATAACAACATAATATTATATCTCTGTAACTTTCCCACCTTTGAATGATTGAAGGCAACTTGTCGGTGGGTGAGACAAACATGATCGAAAATGCATTTACTCAACGTCAGTGACACAAACCCTTTCTGATGGCGAATTATTACTCTTATCTTATAACTGCCTTCTGGCTATATCTGCCGTTGTATTGGTTGGTGGAGCATATGTGTCGACCTCATGCGGGTGGTAGCTGGCGGGAGGATCTGAGGAGACTCTCAAGGCTGCGGCCGAAAGCCGCACAACGTGGGACCCCATTCCCTTGAGGTGAGCGGTAGACTCATGACACGCTCTGCGGCTAGTAACCGTGCTGATCATGCAATTGGTGGTGATGCCATACACTTACATCACGTCTGCAGGAGCGGCGGTCTGGCAGGTGGTGGCGCTCACGGAGGGTTTACGGCCAGTGTGCCTATTTGCCTAAACCGTGTGACGTACATTCACTGTGGCTGGATTCGTTCGTATTCTGTTTGGCATTTACACGCATTGACATGCGCGACTTCGGTCGATGTTTGTGCTTACGCACTAGCAAGGGGCCAAGCCTCTTTTACTGGTTCGCCAGTTATTTTGCTGTGGACTACGGTCCAGTTCCCGAATTAGCGTTCCCTTCGGGGGGGAGTGCATCAAAATGGTTGGCGCTCACCGTGCACGGCGTGTGTGGGGCCGTGTACCTCCCCTACATTTTTTTTTAAATAAATGTAGGAGAGCGAAGCCCTTGTATCGGGTATTTTTGTATAAATATATTGTGAGCCTTTTCCAAGCGCGAAGGGATAAATAATAATAAATTAATAATGTCAACCTGATACAAGTGGAATAAAGACGTTTTACGTTCTTAACCTTTCTCGAGCCCTGTCTTCGTGAACGGGGTTCACTTAGCTTATAAGGCACTACCAACAGCTTTCAATTGCTCTAACGAATATTCATTCTTCCAAAAGACACCTAAAAGAACTAAGTTACTAAACAAACACAACGTAAATAAGGGTCCTAACTAAGACGATCACGCCAAAATATTACAAACGGCCTATTATTAAACCTTTAGAAAGATCATTTAGAAAGATCTAAACATAATTTATTAATCCTGGTCACATATATATAATTTTTAATATAAAGGGGAATATAATACATTTAGTATTTTATATATTTATTATTATGAGAGGGGGGGAAGCGTTACAATGTGTAACTTGTTAGTGGCATTTTCGGTAGCATTAATAGTCTTAATACAAAAATGCAAAATCAATTCCTATCTCACTTTTAGATTATCATACATTTATCACACCTTTTGATTTGCTCGGAAATCCCCTTATAACCCTGTATTTTTGTCGATTAATAGGCCCTTTTTCCATAATTCTTGTACGTACTTTATTTATTTCTAATATTTTGACCTTTAGCTAGCTCTCTTTCTCTCTATTCACTTATATGTTTATTTATTTAATCGATACCGGGAATCGGAGTATTAATTCATTTCATTTACATTTTATTTCTTGATTTTTATCACGCGGGTACATTATAAATATGGGCCCCCCATTTATTTGGGTATTATATTACATTTTAGTAACATTCATTTCATTTTATTGGTACATAAACTTTTCTTTTATATCAAGGTAAAATTTACCTTGGGTTGTGCGCACAACCTTGAGGTCTATGTTTTTTAAGTCACTTTAAATGGACTCCAACAATTGTCACAGAAGAAAACTAAGTTCGCACCATGATCCAACGAAGGATGTGACCTCAATGTTTTTTAGTATTGGTACCCTTTAATAAGGGTAACAAATTTAAGACTTTTCTGGTCCCTAACAGTACCAATATGAGTAAACTCAATTACAACACTTGTACTGAAGGCGTTGTTCCCTAGTACCCGTTACTCCGATTTCATCGTCCAATCACGGAAACATACCCTGCTCGAGGACTATATGCTATACCAGTGATGAACGTTCCCGTATCTCTCCATCATTTATTTCTGATGGTCATCTTTTTTATTATCTTCGTAAATCTTTGTCTGTATCGGATACTTTTATATTCATTCAATCTCATTCCATCTCCTTTCAACTAAGCATATCGGTTTATTAACATAACCAGAGTTTGGGCCCTAAACATTGGCTAAGATAATATCCGATAGCCTAATTCCTTCATTCCAATAACTAGCAAAATTTTGATATTAAAATTGCATAGTTTGTAATAATGTATCTAAACATCACATAAATCATTCTACATATACGACATATATTACAACATTTAAAATCCATAATTATTATATTCCTTTCTTTGCCGTAGTCTGTCTTCAACTTTCACACATCCATACCAAAACCTCAACATTATTCAAGAGAAAAAAAAATTAACACAACCATAATTATTCATTGGTTGATCTAGCCGATTACAAAAATAGTTAAGCTAATGTTTTACTGTTACTTTTTACTTAACTAACTTTCTTTTCAGATATAAACACCATTCCAACATATTTGAACACAACCTATACAATATACAATTTCCTTTCTATAATTTAACTTAACACTTTTTTTTCTATCCTTTCTTTTACTTTTTTGTGCAAACAGTTCTTTGTTTCAGTTCCTAAACTAACACAGTAAGATACTATGTTATATAGTAAGGGTTGGCAACCCTACCTATAAAACCTAACGAACATTACAAGCCTAATTTTGTTATACCTTAATTAATTATATGTGTGAAATGTTCTGAATAAATGTTTCTTCTCTTCTTTCAAAGTGAACTAGTGATCAATAAAATCAAACTACTAGTAATTCACACTACTGTTAAAATATATACAATGATTAATATACAACATGATCGATAGTGTACCTGTTAGAAATCTTTACATTTTTTTAAATTCTGTCTGTCTGTTTGTCTGTCCGTCCGGGCTAATTTTCGGAATGACCGCAACGATTGTGATTAAACTTTTTGAGATGAGAGACAGCAATGCCTGGAGGGATCTAGGCTGTTTTTTATAAAAAAAAACATGAAGATTTTTTGAAAAAACCTAAAATTTATAAAAAATAATTTTTGATTATCTTAAATCTAAAAACCGACACATAAGATCCTGCCGTGGCGAAAGTTAGGCGGGTTGATAGTAAAAAATAAAATAGTGGCATGTCGTATAATGACGTATCTATCCTAAGGTTAAATACTTTTTTTCCAGTAAAATCTACACTACAGGAGTAACAAGTTAATTGGATCAAATGTGAGTAACAATCCAAGAGTAATTTTTATACGACACGATTCTTATATTATCTCGGACGTCAATCTGAGCGATATGAGAATGGCTCTCCAGCGCCTTAAAAATGACAGGGCCCGGGGTCAGGATGGAGTCACAGTGGAGATCCCGAAAGCGGGTGAAAAACCAGTTCTAAACCGCTTTAAATCTATCCTTCATGGTGGTCTAACTCCCAACGTTGGAACAGAAGTGCGTTGGTCTTGTTATTCAAGAAAGGTGAAAACGTTCTGTTAAAGAACTGTAGACCGATTTCCCTTCTAAACCGCATCAACGTGTTGTTTTCATGTTTGATAATATTACAACTACGTTACAATGTATATGTGCGTTTTTAAAACTTTGTTGCCTGTCTTTCAATTTTGAAGGTCAAATACACGAGTTAGAAAACTAAGGCAATTCAGTTAAGCTAAACGAGCAAGTGAATATTTTTATATATATTTAGGTAATCATTTATAAACTTTATTTTCTTTGGCAACAAAATTTTATCTAGTGCTGAGAAATGGTACGGCGCGTATTTTTAAAAGTCGCTGGGTATCATCTCTGAGTTTAGCTTCTAAAAAGCGTCGTGGACGCTACAGGCTACTCAACACTAACATACAAGGTAATTATGGTATTAAAGGCGTTTAAGGCACCACATCGATCACCACACCGTTAAGTTAGTATAAATTTTGCTTCTTGAATTATTTGTATAGAATTGCAGGTAAAAATATCATGCGGCAGTCCAATCGCAAGTCTTGCGGCCCCACACAAGTTTGGTGATACGCGGGCGCAGTTTTGTCGGGAATTCGTCACCCCGGTCGTTTTGTTTCCTCTGGAGTTTTGTGGATGAGATAGCTAGAGGGCTTGATTCCTGTTAGTTATGAGTCTTTTATTCAATTCTGATTGTCTTTGACAAGGCATTCTAGGCGATCTCTTATAATATTTAAGTTGGTCATACTTCTGGGGAACATATTTTAGGTCGATGGCGTAACACCATGTTATTCTTGTTTTTTTGGCTAGATCATGCAATATTTTGAGACTGAATACCTACAGCACAAAATTTCATAAATTGAAATTTAATATTTTTTTCTGGAACTTTTAATGATATTTTATTTGTCCAAAAACACACAAGAAATTATAAAATTGTTGCATTTAGTTTTAGCGGCTTTTGTGATGGTGAAAATAAGTAAAAGTTTCTTTAGAAATAAGCTTACAGTTAGACTATACTACAAAAGTACAAATTGGTAGTTATTGAAGTTTGACAACTGTAGAAAAGTAGTCGTAGGTTTCATTCAAAGAAGGAATGAAAAATGTGTCACAATCAAACATCATTTTTTGCTGAATAAATTTTACTTACGTATAATAAAATACTTATTTGGTACACTTAAAACTTTTACTTTCGACACAAATCTGATACAAATAATCTATTTTAAAACTAAAAGTCAAAGTCACTAATCAATATTTAATGTTTTAAATGTGCCTGCTATTCCCATATACTCTTCGTTAAGTTTATTCGTCAGTCTGTACTTTTCATTTGTGGAAGCTGTTTTCATTTCGTTGTAATATTCTTGAAACTCCTTTGAACTAAGAACCTCTACCCAGTCTTCTGCAAGAAATAATATTCATATTATTATACACACGCAAATAACAAAATCTCTTAGTATTATTCTTATCCAATTCTGTTAGAAATAAGAGACGAAAATAATTGAATAAAACCTTTACCCGTGGTCACGGACCCTCCCCCCCCCCCGTTACCACGGGTGCTGTAAAGCACCCGAAACGTTGGGATAAAAAATAAATTAAAGTTGAATTAAACGCGATAAAATCCGTAAATAATAGTTTTATTCAATGTGTAGTGTTCGCGTAAATTTAAGAGATCATTAGACGAAAATAATTACAAAATCCGTAGAAGTGACGTGGAACTCATATAATATACATATAGTACGGTTCAGAAAACTAACTTGATCAGTCTATAAGCCGCTTATTCGGTTGCGGTAACGACCTTTAATTTTTTAAACTGTCATTAATGACTAATTTTCCATTCCAACCTGTTACAAAAATATCTTCTGATAAATATTTAATGCTTTCTTAAATTTGATGTTCAAATTGTCATTATATCCTTTACGGCCATTTAAGGAATTTTCCGTGCCACAAAAAATAATCTGGAATGGACCATTATTTTGGTAATTCTGATACATAAAAATGTGTCATACATCAAGCTTTAAACTATTTTAAACGTTATAAGTTTCCCCAAAAATTAAAATTTATTTCTTACATACTGATCTGTAAGAACATACCGAGTTGTTAATGTAAATCATAATAATCAGTAAATAAAAAGGAACATGTCTGTTCACTTATGTCGGCCATGGCTGATCAGGATGATCTTATCCATCGCCCAATCTCTCTTCGCCTTCGCATCCCAAACAGAGTTAACTAATTTTACCAACGTTATGGGAAGGATTTCCTGATTACATAATATAGAATTTCGAAAGAAGCTGTGCTTCTAATGTTTAAATTTGCAGAGTTTTTAGTAAAAACAAAAATTAAATCTGTTAATGAAAAAACTTGATTCTTTATATTCTTTAATTTCTTTACTTAGAGCTCTGTTCAACTTGATGAAAAGCCTTGTGACCACACAAATCCACTCTTGCCGAAATGTTTAAAAATATATCTCCTTAAATATTTTAATTATGTGGATACAGTAGCATATTATTATAATACCTAATAATAATATAAAACTTACTGTGTAATTTAACAATAGATCTCTCATTTCCGCCCAGCTCTTCTGGTAATAGATCTCTTTGTACAACCTGGTGTAGTGAATTCAAATCTTTGTGTATTTGAATACGTTGACTTAATTTTGTACTCAAAATTGGTTTGACAAATTCAATTATCGTTTCCACAATTTTTGATGAAGTAACTAAATGCACAGATTTTATGCTCATTGCATAGCCATCCTGAAAAAAAATATGTCCTTAAAAAGATAGTTCATCACGACAAAATAGAATTGTAGATTCAAGCAAATATCATTCAAGATTCGTTATCAATATCATAGGTTTATTACTGTACCAATAACAAGGTAAGTGGCAAAACAAAATGCCGAAAACTTCTTGCTATTTTGCTTCATATTCCTATGAATGGACTTTTTTGTTTAAATTATCATAATAAATTTTATATGTTAGTTTCTCATGGTTTAAATCAACGTTACAATGTTATCGTTTTCGTGACCCATCTAAGATATTCAGAAATGATTAAATCAACTATTAATATATAAGTATAAATATGAAATAAGTGATTTCCGTTACAGTTGTTGCATCTGTCGGTATATCGAAGTGGAGTACATGTGCATGTGCGTGTGCATGTGCGTGTGCGTGTGCATGTGCGTGTGCGTTTTGCGTGTGCGTGTGCGTGTGAATGTGCGTGTGCGTGTGCGTATGTGTGTATGTGTGCGTATGCGTGTGCGTGTGCGTGTCGTGTGCGTGTGCGTGTGCGTGTGCTGGTGTGCGTGTGGGTGTGCGTGTACGTGTGCGTGTGCGTATGCGTGTGCGTGTGCGTATGCGTGTGCGTGTGCATGTGCGTATGTGTGTGCATGTGCGTGTGCACGTGCGTGTGCGTGTGCGTGTGCACACAAAGTGAAAAATTTGTATCATTATAGGTATTACTAATAGTGTTAATTTCTACGGCAGTAAATACTTTTACTGTGGCGTCGTTTTTGTATATTTAAACCCCTTTTACCTTTAAACAGCCTACCGTCAGCTCAATTTTGGCACTCTAAGAAATCCGGCTGTGAACGTATCTATAAAGTGTAAAAATATCTCTACTACTAGCACTAAAGGGGAAGGCCACGCTCTCACAGAATACCAGCGTAAAATAACAGCTTAACGCTACTGTGTTTCGTATGGTAAGTGTAGAGAACCGGAGATCCTTTTTACTGGAAACGAGGCATTTCATCTTAGTTCTCACGGGTGACAACAAATGTATATTTTGATTCGTCGAGGGATCTAGATGTCTATGGGTCACAGTAACTACTTAAAATCAGGTGGATTCTGTGATCGTTTGTAACCTTTATCCTATAAAAAATATATTAAATGACTTCAAATTGACGAAGAATTTGTTTACTATGTATTTCCTGTTAAAAAATAATCTGTTTTATACACACACACACACACACACACACACACACACACACACACACACACACACACACACACACATATATATAATCTAGAGCTTTCATTTAATATGCTATTATATTGTATTACCCTCCTTTTTAAAAAAAAATGGAATTGGGCATTGTGTGTGGCCAATGGAATCAAGATTATATAGAAATTTAATGTATTTTTATTAGTTGATAATATATCTTTTAAATATGAGAAAAGCCTTTTGATCTTTAAGTGATAGGTGTAGTCGTGCCCAAAATCAGTTGGGTTTTTCTATCAAGAAATTCTCAGAAGCAGCAGTCCAGAGTTGGGATTTTAGCGGTGTTACATCCCTGTGCCCCAGAAAGCATGTAAAGACGTTGGTACTGCATCCGACCTCTCTATATTATCACATTGGACTATGAGAGTTTGTTTGAAAGTGCGCCTGTGCTCCTGAAACTAAATCCGTACTTACAAATATTAATGTCAAAGCTTGGCGCACTTCAGCGAAGTCCAAAATTTTTACGTATTCCACTAGATTGGTCTCCAAATAGTCTACAATTATTATTATTCCTCTACTATAATCATTTGCTGTTAAGTATTCCGCCATCTGCAAATAAAGACAAAAAATTTATATTTCTTAAAATAGCTACAAAAACAGATATTTTGTAACCATTATGGTCGCTATAAATTATACTGGTCTTTTTACACAATTCGCAACGTATTTTATAATTATTATTTAGGACTGATCAAATGAACGAATAATGTTTCGTCCAAACATCGTTGCAGAATCTGAACTTTTGGAATAATATTATTCTGAAAGTATTAATAAATCTAATGAACTCACTACTCCTGCACTTCAAAAAGCCCTTTAAAAAACGGAATTGTACAACACAAAAAAGCATATGTTTTAATACCTCACACCTTGATAGCCTGGATAAAATCCTTGCATCACTGGTACAATGTTACTTTATTTAATGAAAACGACAGTACCTACAACCGATTGCAGAAATTAATTGATGGAAGAACTTTTTTAGAAGCACCAGACATTCGCATTTTACTAAATGTACTTATCTAAACAGCAGCATGTAAGTTAGGTACTGATTTACTAGATAGAATGAAATAATAAATGAACGTCGAATTAACTAAACTGCACGTCACTCAATATGTCGACGCCAAGGATTTCGATACGGGCTGAGACAACAAGAGAAGTGCCCCTTGAAACTGAGGAGATACGACAAATAGGTTCTTTTTAGCGGTTAACGCGCAAACATGAAAAAGAGATACGTCAGGTCGTTGGGAAGACTCGGAGCGTATTGAATCGGACAAAGTCTGCACGTGGTGATTTGTATTGTAGTATTTTTAAAATAATCGTATAAAATAATTGACTAAATAAAACGAGCTCAATTTTTTTTTTGGATATTTATTATTACCTGTCTTTTGAAATAATTAATAATATAGATAAGTTTATATCCAAATACACAGAAAAAATGACATCGAAGTGGTAGTTTGGTTTTATAGTACTATTTTTTTAGTATTCAATCCAAATATTTACGTAATTTAGACATTATGTTGCACTAAAAGACTATATATTCCATTATAATAACGCTTTTTAAAATAAATAATTATTGTAGCTAACAATAATGGTTGTATCCGATCTGAAAGATAACTCTGACGCATATTTTTGTAAAACGCTATTTGCTCTAACAAACCGTAATTAAAAACTATGATTTTCTGTTGCGATGCACTAAGTAGACTCCATCTTTCTAAAGCCGTAATTTTCTCCAAATAATTTGCTCATATCATTACGATACCGCCCTTGAAAAAATCCTAAAATATGAAGTTTTCGACGCAAATCGCATATGCCCTCTTAATGTGGAATTACACTTCGTTAAATTTATATTGAATTGATAGAATGTGCTATATTATATTCAGTGCTATTAACATATCTGTTATTATGAAACTCGAACTAAGGTTTAAAATAAGGAGACGAAAATTCTTACCGCAACTAACCATCGAAAGTAACTCATTATAATGTCCTTATTAAAATGCTTTCCAACATTCTTTAATACATAAATTCTGTAATATTCATCAGTCATTTTAGGCAATAGCCCGTCCCATCTGAAAATGCAGTATGAATATATTAGTAAGCTTTCGCAATAGCAGAAACACATCGTCCTTATTGGTATCAACCCAAAGAATTTTACTGGAGTTATCATCATATGTGCATCATAAAATAAAATTTTACCCATTTTGTAGCAAGAGCATTGCTATTCATCACGTGGATTTTCTGATATTGCACCCTGTCGCTGGTCTATTTTTGACATCAACCATAAGGAAATTGAACATCACTTCATAATATTGCTATCCATAAGAAAATAAATGAAAAAATTAATGTCCGACGCTCAGTTTTTAAGACTACTTCTCTTTAAAAGGGCCGGCAATGCACCAGCAAATCCCGTGGTTCAAAGTAGAGGTTGGCATTTATTTTCAGGTGAACCAAATGCTCGTTTGCTCTGTCTTCTATGAAAAATATTGGGTGATAGGGCTTTCCCCTTACCACGAAAAACCGCACCAAACATTTTTAGAAATAGGTCAAAAATATGATTGCATACTGCATATTAGGAAGATGTTCTGTATGGTAGAGGGATGATTGAGGATTACGAAAATTAGTAACAAGCAATACTTACATAATGTCCGAATACTTGTATTCAGTCTTAAAATCGATAAATTTGTAGAACTGTGGCATCAACGTCCTAAGAGTGCAATTTCTGTCTATTTTTGACTTTGCGCGCTCCACTGAACCCTTGCAAAAAATTATTTTTCTTTCCAAATATTCTCTGGCTGAAACAAGCATTTTATCGATAAAAAATATTATGTAAAAAAGAATCCCTATCATCCAAAATACGTGGTAGCCACATTAATCGCACTATATCCATAGTCCACAGCATTCATCAATTATAAATTTATTTAATGGCACGATTTTTTTCTCTTTATTTTCTCAAAATCTCTCACAAGACTCCTTACCTACTGAGATAGGAATCCTACTCCAGGACTTTGCATTAATTATAAGTATAATTTTACTTACAAACTATAACACAACAATTAATTTACTTATTAGCAGCTTTAATAGTTATTTGCGCAAATACTCAAACTTTACTTAATTTTAAGATGCTGTGAAGACCTGATACCACGACACTTAACAACATCTTAAAACTGAGAAACCTTTGTGTATTTGGGCATTTGGTACGGTAATAACGCATAGGGTTCCTTTTCTGTTTAATCATAAAGATCGCAATCTAATTAAGGCTGAAACACATCTCTAGCAGCTGACTGATGAGGATAATTATTTAAATAATTTAAAATATGGTATAAAATAGTATTTAAACTTAAAAAACTTAGAACCAAAATATTGTTTCCTTTGTATTACGTGTTTTAAGGACAGCTTTGTAATGAACAAAATATAATGTTGCGCGCCACAGTTGATGGCACTAGCGATACCTATTATCGAACAAAGGAACTAAGCTTTTTAGAAAACTTCACACTCGAACTTTCTACACCTAGTCGGTCAGGACCGGTATTTGCTGAAATTATCTAGCTGAAATTATCTTTTCCATTGAAAAGACCTGTAAAAAGGCGTTAGGGCTGGGACCGGTGCAATATTGAATTTCTGATACAAGCGAAGCTTCGGAGCGAAATAAAGTAGACTAAAGTGATCAGTGTGATTGATTATTAGTCTCTTTTAAGTTTTAACTGGTGTTCGGTAATTAAAGGGTTAATTTTGGTAATTCAATTAGCAGTTTTTACTGTCACGAACCCTAAGCTCGTAACAATTGGTGTCAAAAGTGGGATCAAATCATACCGATTTTACCGAAGGATGACACGGAGAGTGTCCGTACTCGAAGTCAACGCCAGCAGGAGACGGACCAGAGAAGATTTGATGGTGCAACGCTGCAGACGTAGGAAGGCTAACTACACGCCGACTGGAGCAACAGGCCCACCGTTTGGAAGAGCAGTTGCGGAGCGGACAAGAGGAACAGGTCCGTCGGTTGGAAGAGCAGATGCTCCTCATGAAGGACCTTCACGCTAACTTCAGCAAGGAGATAAAGGAGGTGAAGGATAGAGTTGCTCAACATGACAAACGCCTGTCGGAAGCTGAGATCCGAATTGAACAAGTAAACAAAGTGATGGCTAACATGAAGAAAATAAATAAAAAAAATTAAATAAAAATGCCGTGTAGTGGCGGTTAAGAATATCCACTACCCCATATCTTCCCGCGGGTGTCGTAAAAGGCGACAGAGGGAAACAGGCACGAGATGGGCAGCAGCATCTTCCTGATAACAGCAACTGTAGGACAAAAAAAAACTGCGGTTGCCAACCCGCTCGCCAAGCGTAGCAACTATGGCAATATACCCCCCATGAACAATTACACAAATAGACGGCCCCCAGTCCCCGGCGGCCCCGCTAATCCTGGCTACGGTGGCGACCATGGTAACGGCGGGGCAGGGGGTGCTAAGAATCTCCGGTGGAGGTTCGGTTGCCACCTACGACGACTCGACCTGGCAACATTTAACACACACACCCTGAGGACTGACGAGAAGATTCTGGAGCTGGAAGAAGAGATAGACAAGTTGCGCTGGAATATTATAGGATTATCCGAGGTCCGAAGAGAGGGGGGAGGACACGGTGATTCTCGAATCCGGCAACTTGTTCTATCACCGGGAGGGCGACCATCTGTCCCAAGGAGGTGTCGGATTTATCGTCCACAAGTCTCTCGTCAACAACGTTGTAAAGATTGGGAGTATGTCGACGAGGGTCGCGTACCAGCGTGATACTCAGAATCACCAAAGGGTATTCGCTGAAGGTCATACAGGTTTACGCACCAACCTCGGCACATCCCGATGAGGAGGTGGACGAAATGTATGAGGATATTTCCAAAGCCATGCATTCCTCCAAAACCCACTACACGGTGTTGATGGGAGACTTCAACGCAAAACTAGGCACAAGTGAAAACGGTGAGCTGAAGTTAGGGAAATTTGGAGTAGGGCAACGGAACCGAAGGGGCCAGCAGCTGGCCGACTTTATGGAGAAAGAGGGACTCTTTATGATGAACTCTTTCTTCCAGAAGCGGCCCCACACGACGGACCTGGTTGAGCCCCGACGGTTCGACAAAAAATGAGATTGACTTCATTATGACGACCAGACGCCAACTGTTCAGTGATGTCTCAGTGATCGCAAGGGTGAAAACTGGCAGCGATCACCGACTGGTTAGAGGCACACTGAACCTAAACGTTAAGTTGGAGAGGTCTCGTCTAATGAAGTCAACGCTCCGTCCCCCTCGTGCTCTAATCCAGAATCCCGAAAACTTTCAGCTCGAGTTTCGTAACCGCTTTCAGTGCCTACAAGATTGCAATGCAGTGGATAATATGAATGACAAGCTCGTGGAAACTGTCCATGCGGTCGGAGCTAAATTCTGCAAGACTCGCCGCAGAAGAACACGAAAACTCTCCGATCACACTCTTAATCTCATGGCTGTTAGACGGGAGATGAGGCTGCAATCGTCAACAGATTTGACAGCATACAGGCAACTGAACAGACAGATCTCCAAATGCATGCGGCGAGACTTACGCAACTTTAATATTGCTCGTATTAAAGAAACGATGGCGGAACCAGGGCTCCAAAGTCTTTGCCAGAGATCTTTCTGCCAGTAAGAGCCAACTGTAAAAGCTGAAGACTGAGTGTCGCAGCATCGTTTCCGGGACACCTAAGATTTGGAGTGAGATTGAGAGGTTCTATGGGCAGCTGTACACATCATCGTTGGAGCCACAGGTAAGTGTGAGTAACGATCCAAGAGCAAGTCTTATCCGACACTATTCCGATGATATCCCGGACGTCAGTCTAAGCGAGATTAGAATGGCTCTCCAGCACCTCAAAAACGGCAGGGCCCCAGGCGAGAATGGAATTACAGCAGAACTTCTGAAAGGGGGTGGAACACCGGTAATTGAAGTCCTTCATAAGCTCTTCAATTCCGTCCTCCATGGTGGCACTATTCCAGAGGCGTGGAGCAGAAGTGCGGTGGTCTTGTTTTTTAGCGGCGCTGTCGTCGCGCCACTAGCACACCGAAACACACCGAAGCCTAAATCGCGCTATTAACATTCCGAATCATAGACAGTATATATAGAACTTCTCCGAACTATCACACGGAGTGTCGGCCGCTCCCCGGGCAGAACACCTTGCCCGGCGGGAGATCTCCCCTTTTCCTTCCTCACGGCCACAGTGGTGACCCCGACGTGATCTGAACGCGCAACCAACAACCTTCGGAAACTTCAAGCTTCATCATCGTCATAGAATACATATCCTGCAAGCCATCTAGCTTCACAAGGTTCATCGCAGCACTGGAATAATAATACTTCTTGTTCCTTCAAGCTACTGTCTGCGCTATACAGTGTTCGGCACGGCTTTGAGCCTTACTGCTCGCCTCTGCTTCACTGCATTCTCGCAGATTACTTGCCTTCTTCTCGACTCTCCGCAGACTACAAGGCAATCTCCTGGCACTTTCACATTCGTCGACAACTCGACTGCACTATCGACCTCCGTTCTGAGCAGGGGGGTGATGTAGCGGCGCTGTCGTCGCGCCACTAGCACAACGAAACACACCGAAGCCTAAATCGCGCTATTAACATTCCGAATCATAGACAGTATATACAGAACTTCTCCGAACTATCACTTGGAGTGTTGGCCGCTCCCCGGGCAGAACACCTTGCCCGGCGGGAGATCTCCCCTTTTCCTTCCACGGCCACATTCTTTAAGAAAGACGACAACGCTCTCTTGAAGAACTACAGACCGATTTCCCTTCTGAGCCGCGTCTACGTGCTGTTTTCGAGAGTCATTACGAATCGTCTCGCACGCAGACTCGACGACTTCCAGCCTCCCGAACAAGCCGGTTTCCGAAAAAGCTTCAGTACCATAGACCACATACATACCCTGCGTCAAATTGTACAGAATACTGAAGAGTACAATCTGCCACTTTGCCTGGCGTATGTGGACTATGCGAAAGCCTTTGATTCCGTCGAAATTTGGGCGGTGCTACAGTCCCTTCAGCGGTGCCAAGTTGACTGTCGGTATATCGAAGTGCTGAAGTGTTTATACAGTAGGGCTACGATGGATATCCGAGTACAGAACCAGAGCTCGAAACCTATCCAACTGCAGAGAGGTGTAAGACAGGGTGACGTTATATCCATGAAACTCTTCATCGCTGCATTGGAATACGTTTTCAAGCTACTGGACTGGAAAGGATACGGTATTAACGTCAATGGCGAGTACATCACTCACCTTCGATTTGCCGACAATATAGTCCTTATGGCAGAATCGCTGGAGGACTTAAGCACTATGCTCAATGACCTCAATAGTGCCTCCCAACGGATAGGTCTTAAGATGAACATGGACAAAACAAAAATTATGTTTAATGTCCATGTCACACCTATGCCGGTATTTGTTGGGAGCACTATGCTCGAAGTTGTTGACGAGTACGTTTACCTGGGACAAATAGTCCGACTAGGTAAGTCCAACTTCGACCGAGAGGTCAATCGACGGATTCAACTCGGCTGGGCAGCATTCGGGAAATTACGACATATCTTCTCGTCAGGTATACCTCAATCTCTAAAAACTAGATTGTACAACCAGTGCGTGTTGCCAGTGATGACTTACGGATCTGAGACGTGGTCCTTCACTGTTGGCCGTATGAGGACG